AGCTGCTGCACCAAAGCATCTAGATCACTTGTTCACATTTCTAAAACATAATCTCAAGTCCTAATTCTTTTACTATTGTCATCTTGCACATAGAGAAGAGAAAGGCATAATCTACTGCCAAGTTTCGTTCCTTTACCTACTGACCTCTTCTACAGCTAGCCACAGGCCGAGTAGGGCTGCAGAAGGGGCGGGCGTCCCGCGGCCGGCTGAGGCGTGGAGCTGTGGACGCGTGGTCGCAGAGAGAACCGGTCTCGCCGTCGCCGTCTCGCCGGGAATCCTGGGCGGCCTCGGATCTTCTTCCCCAAGATCTACAAGGATCAGTGAGAGGAGCAGAGAGAGAAGAAACCCTAGCGGAGGCAGGGAGGTGCGGCCGTGCGGGATTCACCATGCGGAGGCTGAGGTGTTGGCACACAATGGAGGCGAGGACAGAGGGGGGCATCCATGGTGGCGACGACGGAAGGGGTGCAGTCTCGCTTGAGGCGGAGTCGGCGAGGAGAATAGATGCGCGATGCGTCGCAAGTTGACGGCAAAGGGAAGCGCTCCGGGCCAGATGACTCATGGCTTCCTGCCCCGTGGAAAACAACGGGATGCGGGCTGCAACCCCGCGCCCAGTGGGCTTCCAAAGGACGCAGCGGATTAGTCTAGGGGAGCTTGCCCCGAGGTTTTCTGGACCTGGGAATTTACAGGGAACCCGGGGGGATTTTGTGCTGCCAAAGTAGCCCTTAGAGAGGCTTATCCTAATTTATTTAGAATTAAAGTTGACACGGTGGCAAATGTCCTAGGACAGTTTCACTTAATGTATCTTTTAGGCGGGGTCTGGTGTCTGAAAATAGAAATGCATGGTTGGACCTAGTGTCTAAAGTTGTACATGTTCACCTTTCAGATAGTAGGGATGTGTTCACTTGGAACCTTACCAGGAATGCCATATTCCCAGTACGGTCTATGTATAACTTTTACATCTGTGAAGGTGTTCTATCCGAGAAAAGCCCTATCAGGAAATTAAAAGTACCACTGAAAATTAAGATTTTCTTGTGGTATTTACAAAGAGGGTAACCCTCACAAAAGATAATTTAGCTAAGAGGAAATGGCAAGGAAATGTCAAGTGTTGTCTGTGTAGTTCAGTTGAAACCATACAACATTTGTTCTTTGACTGCCGCTTCGCAAGCTTTGTTTGGAATACTGTGCATATCACTTTTGGAATTCAACCACCTACTAGTTTTGCTAATTTGTTTGGTTCTTGGCTTCATGGATTATGTCCTAAAGTCAAAAATCAAATTTTTATAGGAGCAGCTGCACTTTATTGGGCATTATGGTTGAATAGAAATGATATGGTATTTAACAAGGCTTTAGCTAACACTTATATACAGGTAATTTTCAGGGCGACATACTGGATCAGACAATGGTCCATGTTGCATAGAGAGGAGGACCGACCACTATTCAAGATGGGCTGCAGAAGCTGGGATACCTTAATTATGACGGTCTTTGCGAAGTTTGGATGGAGATTTAATAATCGTATTGCGGACTAGTTTCTTTTGAGTGCTGTGCTCACTACATGGGCTGTTACTGTTTTTTGTTCCTTCTCTTGTGGTTTGCAAGCCTTATGGCTTCCTTTTGTAATCTCAACAATTGGCTGTGTACCATCGGTGGATGGTAGGGGCTGGAACTTTGTTCCCTTATCTAAAAAATGTGGTGACAGCTGAAGGTTTAAACAACCTGCCCTATATGGGTTTGGACATTCAGGTTTAGTCTCTTCGATGGAAAAGTTCTTAAAAAAAAAGAGGCGTCGTTGTCACTGTTGAAAACTCTCATGTTCACAGGTTATGCACGTGATTTATAGCTATATATCATGGCATAGTATGTAGTATGAATAAAGTCGTCTGGTGTACGAATAAGCGGTTGTACGTGTTAGACTGTCTCCAACAATACGATGCAAAACACCAGACCTATTTATGGTATGCGTCACGCTAAAAGGAAAAGGTCACGTACCTAAAAGCCGACTTCTCCAACAGCGAACGCAAAAGGAAAGCCCGGAACACGCACAGTTTCTTTCGCGGGCGCTCGATGAAATTTTCACGGGAAACGGAGCGGAGGGTATCGTGCGTACTGCTGGCTTGGCTCGATGGCGGGATTGTTTTGCCGCCCTGGCTGCTGCGTGTGAGAAGGGACTCGAAGTGGCAGTGAGGTAGCCGCCGGTGATCAACCGATCGCACAAGGCCTGGCGTTGGCGCAATCAGAACACAGGTAATCTAATTTCTGGCAATTTGCTTGTTCGATGTCACATTCACATTTAGGGTTTCTGCGTTTCACCCCCAATCGATTAGAGAGGATGAAAGGGGATTGGGAGGGATTTTGACTTTTTGTATGGGTTCAAATCCCTCTCAATCCCCTCCAATCCACTTGGATGGAGACTAAAACGAACAAACCCTTAATTTGTGGCCAATTTCTCCCTAAATCGGTTTGGTGTACCTGCAGTTGTGTTGGCCATGGCTTGGAGTTATGTCAAAATGTCAATGTTCGGGATAGCCGCAGCATACTCAAGGGACGATGATATCATGGCCACCGTGGCCGTCCTCATTCAGACGCCACAAAAACACCCTTGGGGAGGTTCGGTCCTAGGCCACAAGACTTACAAGTGTGATCGAATTGCGACAGACTGGCAGCTAAATCAAGACTACTTCGTTGAACGTCCACTTTACAATGAGGAACATTTCAGAATGAGGTACAGTCTTTTGACCTAGTTTCTATTTCCATGACACATTGAATTAATTTGATAAAAAACTGTAATTTTGGGCTATAGGTTCCGCATGAGACGGGAATTGTTCCTTCGGATAGTGGATGAGGTCACAGCCAAGAATTGGTTCTTCAAACAGAGGAGAAATGTTGCTGGGCAGTCAGGATTATCTGCTCTTCACAAGTGTACGGTGGCTCGAAAGATGCTAGCATATGGAGGCCCAGCTGATGAGTTGGATGATCATTTGAAAATGGGAGAGAGTACTATCTTGGAGACACTGAAGGAATTTGTTATGACTGTCATAAAGGTGTTCGGCGAATAATTTCTTGGTCCTCCCAGAAGTGAGGAGATAGAGCACATATTAAGCATCAATTTGGCTAGAGGTTTCCCGGGAATGATGGGCAGCATCGATTGCATACACTGGGAATGGTCTAGCTGCCCAACTGGTTGGCAAGGCATGTGCATAGGGCACAAAGGCAAGCCAACTCTAATACTTGAGGCGGTGGTGACTCAGGATCTTCGGATTTGGCATGCTTACTTTGGTCTACTAGGGTCTCACAATGACATTAATGTTTTGCATCGTTCTAATGTTTTTGATGATTTGGCTAACGGGAGGGCACCCTCTGTTGAGTTCCATGTCAACGACAACATATATTCCCTTGGATACTACCTAGCAGATGACATCTATCCTGATAGGACTACGCTAGTGAAAAACATTCCTGTGCCAGTTAGTAACAAGCAAAAGGTATTTTCAGAGCAACATGAGTCATGTCGAAAGGATGTGGAGAGAGCTTTTGGTGTCCTACAGGCTAAGTGGAAAATCTTGCATAGGCCAGCTCGTTTATGGAATAAAAAAGTACTTAATTCCATCATGTGTGCTTGTGTCATACTTCACAACATGCTAGTTGAAGATGAGCGCGGGTTCAGCTACCTAATGTCCACCCATCAGAATGCCCTGGAGTGGCTGACCCACCAATTAATCAGGATAGAGAAATCCTATGAATTGAGAAACTTGTTGATGCTCAAAACATCATTCGGGATAGAGAGACGGTAGCTCAGCTTCAAAAACGACCTAATGGAACACATGTGGATGCTATACGGCCAATGCTCTGGTCTCTTTGGTCCTAATAACAGGAACTAAAGTCTTTAGCTGTAGGTTTAACAGGAACTAAAGTCTTTAACTGTAGGTTTAGCTGTAGCCAACCTACTGAGAAGGCCTTTGTATTTTGTTGGGAGCTCACAAGAACTATAGTGGCTGAAAGATATTATGTTGCTTGTTGATAAGAAATATATGATATTTTGCTGCCGTATTCCAGATATTCAGTTCAGACAAAGATTGAAATAGCTATTGGGCAAAGACTCCTTTGGTTACTAGGAACGGCAATATTTCAGCCGGCTTTTGGTTTCTTTTAATCAGTCCACCGGGTCAAGTAAGACAACAGAAGCAGCAACTTGGTTCAGTTGTGAAGTAGCAGGATAGAGACAGCAGCTGCACTTCGACAATCAGGTATAATACATCAGTGATACAAAAGCAAGCACAAAGAATATACTGGACCTCTTTCAAAAAAAACATCATATTGATATGGCAGTGCCAAGTTACTGGTACAACAGTAGTAGTTCACATTAACAGACATACATTAGTTCACAGCACTACAGATAATACATCAGTTCAACATATAATAGAAAAAAGTTGCACACACGCTCCTTAGTCTTCGTTGTTCGAGAGGCTGATGAACCCTCTGCGCTCCATGATTTGCCGCTGCATGCCAAGATAATAGTTTTTCAGATAAGGAGGATCTTCTCAATGTCAATCGACATAATACTAGATTCAGCTGAAATCAGTTGAGCCTCTGACTCCTTATCTCTAATCGCATTTTCCTTCTTTTGTTGCTGCACACTCATCTTCATATGCTTCTTCTGAAGGTTGGAAAGATCCCTTTGAATTTTAATTTTTTCATCCTTCCTACTAAGGATTTTAGCCATTTGCTGGTCTTGCTTCTATTCGGTCTTCTCTGATTTCTCCTGCAACCGCTAGAGGACTTCAACAGCCGTACTAGACGACGATGTCTCTGTGAAGCTCTTTGATCTACGCCTCTTCGCACTATCCCTACCCTCAGGACATGATGTGTTTATATTCTCATTTCCAGATTCTGCATGGCCAGCCACAGTATGGCCTTGAGTTGGAGGAGATGACATTCCATCCAATGATGTAGAGTTGTTTAGCTCAAGAAACTTATTGTTCCATTTAGCCTCATTGCGAAGTTTTTTTCTAGCAATGCATGATGGTAAAAGGTTCTGTCCTCTCGTACATTTGTACAGCATCATCAATCTGTAGATATGAATATAGATTAAACCGATTCAAAAAATAAGCATATGGAAATTAGAGAGATGGACGACAACATGAGTGGAAGTATACCTGATCCTGCTCATTTTTTCCGCTCTCATTCAGCCTATCAATAGCTTCTTTGTGCCCACAGAACTTGTTCATTGCTTTCTGAATCAATGCCCACCTATGCTGAATCGCAATCTGGCTATGGTTGGACCCTTCAGGCTTATGCTCATTGAAATAATCATGCATCCTCTTGTAATAACCACCTGAAGTCTGATTCACACCTGCATGTTATGCCACCATGTTATTTGGGCATCAAAGGGTCAAAGATTTCTTAAAAGGCGTTGTAAACTATTACCAGTAATAGGGTCTTTGCTAATATTCAAAAATGCCGAACACACCACCAAGTCCTCCTCTTTGGTGAATGCAGTTCCTCTCCTGGACATGTTTTTCTTCTTTGCGGCCCTCTGTGATTTCTATGATGGAGGATCCTGAGAGCCATGGTTGTTGTCAATGGAGAACCCTTGACTAGGTTGCCCATTCATAGGTGGGCAGGACATCTGGGAGGAGCCATGCATGTTGAACTAGTGATAAAAAGAACTATTAATCATCGATGTATTAATATTTAAATAGAACAACCCATCAAATGCATGGCTGCAATAAACCTGGGGGTTCGGAGGAACATCCAAAGATTGCAAAGCGGCAGAATAACCAAAAGCCCACTGATCTGCCCCAAATATTTCTTTAGATTCGCCAGGGGACCACTTGAGCCACTAAAAATGTTATCCATTGTCCTAGTACAGTTATACAATTAAACATGGCACAAAGTACGCATGAATGGACTATAAAATTTTGATGAAACAATGACAATATGCATTCAACACAGACTACGTGGCCTAGTTATGAAGTAAATACAATTTGGCAACTTATGTGTACATGAGACAGACAGAGTACTGCTTGTCCAGTGCTAATCTCAATGTTCTAAAGTGAAGTGCTCGGAACAGGGATATGAGAAGTGACTAGTAAATAGTTACTATCTAGTACCAGCAAACACACAATTCAATCAATCAAATAAGGAAATGTACCTGTAAATTGAAATATCATGGTTTGCAATACTAAATCAGATTAAAATCATGATTATAGAGCAAAGCATTAAGGACACAATCCTAGTCATGAACTCATGATTCCTACTCATCAATTAAAAGATACGGCACTTATTCCAACAGGTGCACCAAGAACGAATGCTCCAAATCATTCAGAAACGCTCCTGTCAGAGAACCAATCCATATGCAATCCGATCAATCCTCTTGCAGCAATCGGATCATGTCCTCCCCCAACCATAACCAAAAATCACAACAGCCACAATCCAAGGGCTCAACCGCACAGGGGTTGAGGCGGAGGCCTGAGCCCTGAGGGGCGACTGCATCCTGCAGGCACGTCGCGGTTGTCGGCCTGCCGAACGGAGCCGCCGGCCGTGCAGGCGCGCAAGCAGGCGCCAGAGCGGCTGAGGCAAGGACGGCGAGGCGACAGGGAGATGGGAGCGGGAGGGGGATCCGGCGAGCGGCGTGGCCGGATTTAGGCGCAGCATGCAGCGCCATGCGGCCTTGCCAAGGGTGCGAGCGGCCAGGGCCAAATCCTGGTGGAGAGAGGAGAGGTGGAACCGGGAACGAAGGAGGGTGGGGTTGGAGCGAGATCCATACCTGCGAAGCTAGCTCGGTGCAGATCTCGGCGACGGCTAAGCTTTCCCTATCGCCGGGTGCGCTTTCCTCTTGTTTCCATCTCCCGTGAAACGGTTGCGCAGCAGATATTTCGGTCCATTTCGGTCGAGGAGAGAGACGGAGAGAAGACATTTATTTGGGTTCCGCGTTGTCTCCGACGCAAAATGTATCTTTTGTTTGCCTTTTTCGTTGGAGCCTGTTTTTTCATGCTAAAACACTGTGAAGGATGTAATTTGGACTTGGGTCACGTTATACTTACGCTATTGGAGATAGTCTTATGCACGTCGGCATTAGTCGGTGTTTGTGTGACATTGTATTGGTAAACATAAACCGAGATATGCATTGTATATAGTATTGGTAAAAATAAACTAATATGTATTATGTGATATTGGAACTCTGTGTTCAAAATCTATACTTGCATCATAGCTCTCCACGCGGAACAAGCTCACGTATGTACAACACCTCTCTTATATTTTCTTTCATTCTCGATTCTCGTATAAAAAGATGGGCAAAGGCTATGTGCCATGCGCCAGTGGCCGGCAGAGGGAGTGAGCGAGGGAGAGAGAGGATCCGGTTGTGATAGGGAGCAGTTGCGAGAGGGAGAGAGAGGGATCCGGTTGAGAGAGGGAGCAACTGCGGGAGGGAGAGAGATATATCGAGAGGGAGAGAGGGAGAGAGGGGGATGGGATAATGGGGTCGCGGATCTATGCCCTCCTGCAACAGCTAGTCCCAAGATGGCCATCCCAAGATGGCCCACGCGGGCACATGGACCACCTGTGGGTTACTCTAGAAAGCACAACACAGGCTTGGTGGGCTGGTAGCTCACGTCGGAGAAAGCGGCGCACACGGAGTGAGGCTAGCCGCTGACTTTCACCATCGGATCTTACGTTGAACAGGCGATGCTATCGAGTTTTTCATCCAATCATTAGTGAAAATGATTTTCACCACAGGTTTATTTCGAACCCATGGTGATACACCGATTCGAAATAAAACTGGCAGCGAAAACTATTTCTGTAGTAGCGAGGTTAAACTTTTTCTATTACTATTGATTTCATTGTAAGGCACCGACAAATAAGTCTGCTAGTACTTAATCCACTCCGGCCACTCAGAGAGAACTCTGGGCAAATTACTTATTTAGAATCTTGTAGTCTTTTGTTCATAAAAAAAAAGAGAATCTTGTGGTCTTTATGCAGAGAGAGAGAGAGATCTTCCAGCAGAGGTATACCACACACAAATGCTTACATGCATGAAAACAGGCTCGAAGTTTTGGTTTATGCACTTCATGCACAGCCAGAGATACATAAATGAATAAGAAATTAAAAGAAAATTCTGCGTCAAGTGAGATACTCCGTATACTAAAACAAATGTGTGTGCTGCGCCGGCGGCGGCCCGGCCTGCAACAGGCTGGCAGTACCAGGCCAAGCAGAACGAACAGCTGCAGCAAATTAGTATCCAGAAACATCAACTTGCTAGCTCCAGTCGTCAATCCATCATCAGCCACGCGCGCGCCGGCCCGTACGTCGTCGTGCATGCATAGAGGATGCATGGATGAGGACGACGACGGCGTGAGGTGCATCGATGATGATATAGCAGAGCTAGCTGCTAGCTGGCGGAGGTGAGGTAGAGCAGCGGCGCCAGGTAGAGGTGGAGGGTGAGGAAGAAGGCGCCGGCGCCGGCGACGAAGACCAGCCCGTACACCAGCTGCCCGACACCCATCTCGATCTCGATGACACTAGCTAGCTATGTTGATGGATCGATGAAGTGGAGACGCGGTGGATCGATCGATCTCGATCGGCGTGGAGTAGGGCGGCCAGCCGGCCGGTGACGACGACCGGCGGTCTCGGCCTAGCTAGGCCGATATTTGTAGTGTGGTGGTGGACTGGTGGTGCATGCATATGGCAGCCGCCAGCCCTTCTCGCTACCTGCCGGCCATGCGTGCGTCCAGTCCAATGGCCATGACGATGCACGCATGGGGGCCGGCAAGCGTCCAGATGTGATGCGACGTGCAAAGTGCTCGTTGGGTTGGATGGGCCGGGAGCGCGGGCGCGGCGACGGGAGCTGTTCATTGGAATGGAACTGAGCCCACACGCTACGAAGCGACCGGCCGACACGTGGGCACCGACGTGTCCCCCAACTACTAGCTGCAAACGGAGTGGATGACTGCCGCGCGCCTACACCAGCTGAGATTCTGTGCCTATCCGTCTCCATACTTTTCAAGGTCTATATGAGTCCTTTAGTAGTAGACTAATAAAATTAAAATCTTTTGTATTTGTAACTTCACTGGGTAGCGTGTCCGTACATTACTACAGGATAACTAACAATTTATATAAAAACTACACGGATCGCACGATAAGATAACAATACTGTTAAATTAAATACCAACGTTAAAGTGACATTTAATCCAAAAAGTAAAGTTTATGAATTTAACACAGTCACGGAGTGCGCGGCGTCGCAAGCTCACAAACTCTAGAGCTTCCAGAGATTGGGTCAAATCCAAGCTAGAGCCTTGGAACCCTGCATCTTTTCTTGGACGGACTTCACTTCAGATGCGCCGGTAGCAATATCAACGATCTCCAGTCGATGGACCAAGTCGTATGGATCCCATACAATGGCTCAGACATGTAGATTTTGTTCTCCTTGTACTTGGATACACTTGTTCCACTGAAGCTTTCATTGAAATGTTTAGACACGAACAGTGTCTGAGCATCGATGTCCCTCAGCCTGGACCACTCCGGCGTACGGTCGTGGAGGTTGCACTTGTAGATCGCGCTGCTATAGGTGAAGCTCTGTGTCTCGTGGAACGTGCTCACCATGGCACCCACAATGGGCAGCTCACCGTTTGATTCCATGTAGCTGCGGTGATAGAGCCCCGCAGGTGGCGACAGCGATGGCAGCAGCGTCACGGTTGGAGTAGCGCCGACGGCGTTGCTGCTGCAGACGGAGATTTCTCCAGTGCAGTCGATCGCCAAGAACTTATCTTGACAGTGGACGATGGACCCCACGGAGAACTCCAGTTTGGTGTCGAGCAGCGTCCATGCACTGTTGACTCCAACCCGGCAGAATGTGACCTCCATGGAGCACCCAAGCATGGCCATGGCCACGCACTCATGGCCGGCGGCGTCAGGCGGCGCCGAGAGCACGATCTCATGGAAGAACACGTCCCCCATGTCTTCTAGCTTGATGGCTCTGCCTAGCGGCATCCGTGTTCCCGTAGCCGTTGGTGGGATGGAGGACCCACCGACCGTGGATCTTAGACACGCGTTCCGATGAGGACGCCACCGCGACGTGTTCGCTTGTTGGCGGAGCTCAATGCGGGGGGCATGGGCATCGGCGAATGGATTTAGCGGCGTCACGGACGCTGCCTCGTCCATGAGCGCCAGCCACCCACACGAGGAGCCGAACGCCACCTTGCTGCGCACGTCGGGCAGCGTCTTGGACAAGACCTTCTTCTCCGGGACGCAGTAGAAGTCGACGCGGTCCGAGTCGGGGTCAAACGGGAGCAGCAAGAGCGGCCCGAAGGTCACGAATGGGACAGCGACGCGCCATGGGGAGCAAGCGGATCGGAAGGACGCCGCGTCATGGCGTGACACGAGACGCTGCCCGATGGACTCGAGGATATCCTCTGGTAGGTCGGATCTCCAGTCAGGGAGAGGTAGGGACCTTCTCTTAGGATTGAGAGGCTGAGCCATGGAAGACAGATGTCATCAACTATGGTTTACGCAAGAAAC